CTTTTAAGTAGCATTCAGATGACAGTATAAAGGCCTTTATGTACTCTCTCTGGAGATGTTTTATCTTAGATGCATGGTTACAGATGCAGCTTCTTTACAGTAATTTCACAAACTTACTAAGGTATAATGAAGATTTTAAAAGTTTTTTTAATAAAATATATAAATATCTTCGGGACATCTGAAGGGGGGAACCCACGTAGTCTTTGCAAACTATGGAAAAATAAACTGCAATTAATTATCTCAAATCAAATTCTCAGTTTTGTTGGAAGATAAAGTGTTTTCTGTTTTCAGTGCAAGGCTTTTTCAAATCCAGGTTTGGGGATTTTTAAACACAAAGTGATTGTCATTTGGCTAGATATTTAGTTGAAAAAATGTTAGTTTTCACTTTTGTATTCTAGTACTTCAATATTTCATACTGTCTTCCAGCATGTAATGATCTAAAGTTGAACCGTGTGTGCTTTCGTTATAGTTTGACTTAACAATAATTTTCTCCTGATTGTTTCAGTTGTTTACATCTTGTCTGACTTTTTCTTCTTTTTTTCATTAAACTCCCAATCTTAGGCAGCCTTTCCAACAAATACATGACTCAGGGAAAAGCCTCACAGAAGAGGACCCAACAAGAATCATGAGGGATATTAAGCACTGTTAAATTGCAGTGCAGACCCTTCATTCATCTAAAAAATTTTGTCTAAAGCATCTGGACTCGCAGGACAGCAGAACAGACAACCTTCAACTTAATTTTAATGAAATATGGGTGGTTTATTTTAGATTGCTAGTACAAGCAATACTGACCCCTGCTCTGAAATAGGTTGTTGGAGTATTTAAATAGAAAGCCATAATTTTTTTTATTTCTTTTTTTTGTAAATCATATAAAAAAGGGCAGGTACTAAAAATGGACTGTTTTCAAGGTTTTGTCGTTTCATCTGATGATTTTAAAATGCACATTTTAAAATTGTGTGCAAGCCAAATACATTATATTCAAAAATTGATTTTTTGAAGCAGCAAATAATATTTATTAATGTTGATTGTATACTGAATCCTTGTTTAAAAGTGTTCTAAATGTTTGTAGACTGCTACATTTTTGGTTTGTTGGGTTGTGGGTTTTTTTTTCCCTATGGAGAACTGAAAACATAGAAGTTAGTAAACATAACATAAAACAATCTCTGGACAAGCATTGCCATTAAGATTTCTTGGGGGGGGTTCTGTTCCATGATTCTTATAGGAGTTCATTAGCTGCTGTGTACAACAAGAAAAACTAAGAAGCAGGTCAGTCCTGTTTGATGCTGCTAAGAATCTTTTTCAAGCCCTTGAGGATACAGATAAAAATGCTTTAAAGAATAGAGGCATTATATTTGGCAACAGGGGAAAACACGTCCATTTTCATAAAATGTGAAGAAGATCCTTATGCTAGCCACAAACTTAATTAGGAGTATGAACTTGAGCTTTACTTGAAGTGCTTCCAGAGCTGGCAACGTACTGTCTTTTCTTGTTCAGGAAAGAATTAGTTACATTGTGAAATTGAAACCACTGTTATTTATGACTTTGAAATAAATTAAAAAAAAAAAAATTAAAATCAGACTTAAGTTTCTGTATTTCTTCTTAGGTTGTATTTTTTAGTATTCCTGACTTAAACATAGAATTAATGACAACTTACTAGAATTATGTGAGTTTAGAAATGTCATGTTTCTTTTTTTCCATATTCATCTGTTTTTATTAAAGTTGAAACTAGAATTGACCTAAAGTGGTCTTAGGGAACTGGGACTCTAACTTCTCTTTTGTTTTTAATGCATCTGTAGCCAGCTATCTGTAAACTTCTAGATGTGCAGCTTTCTCAAATAGTTTTTGTATACTTCTTCAACATATTTTCAAGCAAAATATTAGCTAGCAAAAAACCCAGAAAATACTTCCAACTGTCATCTTTTGCATATTTCATATGAAATAAAGTCAGTTTTCCCTCAAAAATAAGAAAATTCTTGTAGATTTTAATTCATAACGCCCCAAACAAAAGAAAAACACACACAAACAAAACCACAAAACAAAAACAAAACAAACAAAAAAAAAAACAAACCAACCAACCACCAAAAAATAACCAGAGCAGACTGACATGATTATGTATGCCTTATTCAGCCCTCTGTTCAGACTTACTTTCAGTTTTGCTGATGGGAATGCAGTATGTAAGCTTCTAAGGGACAATGTCATAATCTCAAGAACAGAAGTTATTTTAAGCGGGAGACAGGAACAAACAGATTTATACATACTTACCCTTTCCATTTGTGATACTTGTAGTTTAGCAATGAAATGTCTACACTTGCATCAGAGTGAAAACTCACTCTGCTTCCACCCATCTTCTCACTTTGAAGCTGCTGCAACTACACATTCTCTTTTGCCACAAATCTCATAGCCCTAAAATGGGATATATATTACAAGCATTAAGCCAGTAAGCAATAAATCCTTTGTTTGCTTAAGGAGTAGTAAAAGAGCAGAGCCAAAATTTACAGAATGATATGTGACTCAGAAGAAACATAGTTGAGGAGGCATACATACCTACTACATTAAGTTGTAAAATTCAGGGAATGAATTGAAAGCTAACACTGAAGAAAAGTATGTTCTTCACAACAATTTTTGATATCCAAGATCGTGTTTGCCTTATGGGAGTATTTCCTCAAGAGAGCAACTTCCCACATACAAAGGAAAACTCGACACACAGCATTAATAAAAAGCTTCTAGAAAAAGAACAGTATTGGAAGTAATAGCAATTAACTAAAATAATAGTTTACAACTAAATTCATCCTAATAAAAAGTAGCAATAAATCCTAATAAATTAAAAGACCTGTTCTGAACCACCTGTATTCTCGGTCCCTGTAATGACATGGGGGAACACTGAGCTGGTTGCACTGCTGCTGTATTTTATTTGTGCTGCTGGGTTTTTATTTAAAAAAAAAATTAAAAAATAAAAATTGCTGCTGCCTTATTTCACAGGAATTTCAGACACTATTTCCAAAGTTGGAAAACTTCCTGTGAATAGTTAGTTATCAGTGTTGAAAAACAGAGAATGATTAACATGTCATCTCCCCTAATTTAATTGTTCTGGTGGAATTTGTTTCATAGCTATGAATAAAAACAGGTTTTCATCCATTCAAAATTTTATGTAAATGTATTTAAATACCCATTGATTTATAAACTTTATCACATTTTTATAAGAACTGCAGAAGCCATGTAAAAAGTGAAGTTGCTGGTAACCTTTTGGGGCCTGAAACAGTTGCTTAGAATGGGTACTAGCAAAGAAACTATTTTAAAATTTTTCCTATACTGATAAAAGTTATCAAAAAATTTTCTTGTTATTTACTTGAAGTATATAGATTTTAATACTGAATTTTGCTTTTAAGTTACTTTGGTAATGTACTGAACATGAAAAACACCTTAGAACAAGGCTGCTGTTCCAAGCCCATGCTCAGTCTTTAGTGCTGAGATTCAATCTACAGACAGGTGACTAAGGAGTGATGATTGGAAGCATCCTAAAGAAGTACAGGAGGGTAAAGGTCTTTGTGCCTGCATGGTAGACCATGACTGATGAAGAAGGTATCAGTTGCATTCGTATACAAGCCTCCCCCCTCCAAGCATATATATTGCTTACTTCAGGTTCAGGGTGCTGGGGCATTTAAGCCCCATACTTCTCAGTGGTTGTGCTTTAGTTGAGGATGTTTGCCCAAGTTGTATGTAATGGTGTGTGGAAGACATGTTTTGTGTAGGTGAATATACAACTTCTTTATACACTTGCTATCTTTTTCTGTGAGGGAGAAATTCTGTGCCTTATTAAACAGTAGTGGCATATGTATGTAAAAAACATCTGCATGTTTACTACCATGCTCTTCAAAACAGCTAACCCCAGGTACCCAAAGCAGGTGTTGTGATGATCAGGGGACTGGAGCACCTCCCATATAAAGATAGGCTGAGAAAGTTGGGGCTCTTCAGCCTGGAGAAGAGAAGGCTGTGTGGAGACTTCATAGCAGCCTTCCAGTATCTGAAGGGGGCCTATAAGAATGCTGGGGAGGGACTCTTCATTAGGAACTGTAGTGATAGGACAAGGAGTAATGGGTTAAAACTTAAACAGGAGAAGTTCTTTACTGTGAGGGTGGTGGGGCACTGGCACCGGTTGCCCAGAGAAGCTGTGGCTGCCCCATCCTTGGCAGTATTCAAGGCCAGCTTGGAGGTGGCTTTGAGCAACATACTTTGGTAGGAGCTGTCCCTGCCTATGTCAGGGGGGTTGGAACCAGGTGATCTTAAGGTCCTTTCTGACCTTAACCGTTCTGTGATTCTATGATGCAGACTTGTTGCTTGTGCTTGGACTTCGTAAATGTAAGTTTAAAGCACTGTTGTCAGGCAGAGATAATGAACAACGGCGCTCTGCTTTCCCTCTGGCCTAGCCGTCATTCAGTTCAAAGTGATGGGATTGACCTTGCCGGGTTTCTCTGCGGGTGCCCGCAGGCAGTCCCCTTCTTCCCCCCTCCCCTCCACCCCCGGCCTGCGGGAGCAGTTCGGGGCAGCCGTACGGCCCCGCGCCGTGGTCCCGCGGCAGCAGGAGGGTGTCGAGTGGAGCAGCCGGGCCAAGCAGCCCGCACCCGGCCCCTCATGGTGCGCCCTCCGTTACGGACCCCCAGTCACTGACACCGGGCGGGCTTGCCCTTGCAAAACTCCTGCTGTACTGCAGTGCTTGTGTGCGTGATTGCCGCTACACACTAGTGTTCCCGCTCGTGCCTCTGGTGGACGGGGACTCCGTGCTCCCCCCCAACAGTTGCCACCTTGCCGTCAGCGCTGGTGTCGGCAGATAGAGCTAGGTAAAAGCCTCCTACCGCAGCTGCCCTGGCCGAGACCGCGCTTATCTCGGCCAAACAGGCGGGCAGGCCTGGCCCACGCCTCAGGCTGCGGCGCAGCCTCCGCCCCGCCCGGCGCTGCCGATCACAGCCCGTTGACCAATCGGGACGGGCGTCGTAAACACGGCGTGCGCCGTGGCGTCACATTGTGACGTCGGTGGTGCCCATGGCAGAGGGCAGCGGATGAGGGTGATGGCCTCGTCGGTGGTGCGGGCCACGGTGCGCGCTGTTAGCAAGCGGAAGATCCAGGCTACGCGCGCCGCTCTCACCCTGGTCAGTGCCGCGCCGCTGCGGGAGGGCTCCCGGCGGCCCGTGCTCCTGTGCTGCCTTCAAGGCTGCAGGAGCTGCGCCACGGGCAGGGCCGGGCCGGGCCGCGCCGCCGCCTTCCTAATTCCCCGGCCTGCCGCCCGTCCTGCGGCTGGTGGCGCGTGGCCAGCCCTTGGCTGCCGGTGACAGCGGGGCGGGACGAGCACGGGACTCGGCCACGGCAGCGTCGCGGTCGTGGGCCAGCCCCGTTATTCCGTGCTGTGTCGGCTCTGCGCTGGGCTCGGTAGGAGAGGGCTGCGGGGAGGCTGCGGGGTCTCTGACAGCCACACCCCACTCCGTGAGTTGCGGTGGGGGAGCCGCTACTCCTGGCTGATGCCGCCGGCAGCGGGCTCCGCGTCCCTGCTCCTGTGCAGGCAGCTTTGCAGAGGGCAGCGCCGCGAAGGGCAGGCAGCAGGGACAGCGGTGCGGGCCCCTTCACGCGGGGTCCTTTTTGCACAGTCACTCGAAGAATTGCATTTCTTCCTTAAATAAACGTTAAGCATTACCTAGAGCCGCTGACGAGTTGTTCACAGTGAGGCTTTCTATCCTTTTGTCAGTCGAGGAAATGCGTTTGCTACTAGCGGCGGTGTTTTGGAAGCTGTGCTTTTGAGAGGAATTATTGCAGAGGAAAATACAGTCAGTTCCCTGCAGGAACAGGGGCAAAGTGCATAGAGTTCAGTCGTTTGTCAGAGCAGGTTGATTTTCTGTTATGTAGTGAGTTTACTTCATTCTACAAATGAAGATTAATAGCGGTATTTAGAAAAGGGTTTCACCTGTAAGTCTGCTTGTGGTTTTCTTTGGTTGTGGTAAGAGCTAAACATTGCTAACGGCTTTCCTTTTCTCACTGTCTTAGAAACCTAAAAGCATGTAATGGAAATTTCTGTGTGTTTAATGTGTTCTTACATTTATGCAACAAGCAATTCTGCATGAACAGTGAATTTACCCTCTGTAAAATCCCAGTTCCCCTTTAGGTTAGAGGGGTGAGAGAAGTAGGCCATAAGCACTTCTGTGCGTAATTGATTTTTGTATGATGTCTGTGTGTTAAGAACTACTTAATTGCATTGTGGTAGTGATTCTGGAGGGGAAAATACCCAACCAGACACTCTAAAAGGATGGCAGTTCTTGAGCTGCCTGTTTGCTGTCAGTGTGGATATGAAGGGGAGTAAGAGGCATTGTTTTCTGTATGGGTTAGATTCAGCAATCATCTGTTTCGCAGCAGAATGTGTATCTTCAGATAAGAGTCCAGTTTTGAGTAGAACTCAGGCAAGTCAATACTGACAGGTGGCTGATGCTGGAGGTGGGCTTCACACACAGGAAAGAAATGCGAACTAAGAAAACTTAAGTACACTTAAGGGTTGGAATAGGAATTTTTATAGTGCAGCTAAGTATGTTGCACACTTAATATGTGCAAGCTCTAACTCCAAATAAACAAAAATCCCTTTCAAATTAATGCCTGGTTTTGTTTTTCAGACCCCATCAGCTGTTCAAAAGATAAAGCAGCTTCTGAAAGATAAACCTGAACATGTAAGTATAAACAGTGCAAACCTGTAGATGGTGCTAAAGGATCAGCACAACTCATGAAACATTTGTTGCTAACTTAGAAGTTTGAAATAAGCACCAATGTGTTTATTAGAGATAATGGCTTTGGTTTTTTTTTGTTGTTTTTTAGGGGAATATATGTGCTTCTTTGATGTATCAAGCTTCATTTCTTTGTCAAATGAAATGCAGAAAATAACTGATGGTAATAACATTTCGCTTTACAGCTACTTTTGAGGTGGAAAAAGTTGAAAAAACTTAAGCTTAAAATGTTTTTGATATATATTTTAATGAAGCCTTTTAATATGGCATAGTGGTGAGTTCTGGTATGGAAAGAGATCTTCAGCTGTTGATAGTAAGATGTTGTTAATTAAGTTCTTATAGGAATTCTCATGTTGAAGTAAAATAAAGTTAGACTTATGCACATTGGAAAAATCTAATTCTTGGGAAAATTGCCAGAAAGGAAACTTTCTGTTTTAGTAATCAGCATTTCTCTAAGTAACTGAGCTTGTCATCTTTTCCTTTTGGGGAAAAACACAAGAGTCTTGCTGTCTAACCATTATAAAAAACAAGCATTAGATTTTCTTCTTTACAGTAAATATTATTTCAAGGAGAGTATTTCTCTTATAAGTTTCCATTGTTTCTTCTGCTTCCTGCACATCTGCAACTGAGTGGACTCTTTGTTAATGTTTCAAACCAGCTTAAGGATGCCTTAAGCCTACAGCTTAGGCGGTCAGTCATCCCCTTGCTATAAGTGTTGTTTACATTTTCCATTCCATTATTTGTAGCAGTTCTTGTAGAGAAAGGTATTTAGTCTGAAAAGATAAAACATGTTTGTCTGAGATCCCACTTGATGACATGTGCTATGTTTCGATATATTTTTATCACAAGATTGATTATGGAGATAGGCAGTATAATTTTCCTGTTCAGTTACGAAGCATTGGTGTGTAGATACTTCTGAAAGATTGTTGTGCACAAATAGTTCTGTTTCTTTAAAATATTTTCTTATACAGTGTGCTTTTTGTCAGAGTTGTTGGATACTGTGAATATTACAAACATTGACTAGGTTGGCTTATCAGGTTGATTTAAAACAGCAAGGCAGTAAAAATAATTGATTTAAGGGGGCATTGCTGTTTAAGTGAGACTCACAATAGAAGTAATGAAGAAATCAAAGTATGCTTTTCACAACTTGTGTTTGAAGTAAGTTTTCTGATGGTGTTATTACAAGAATTCTGTGCAAATTCAGTAACTGCCCTTGTCTTGGCCTCCTATTGCTGTCAGTACAGAACTGGCATTTAAGTATTCTATTAACTTTAAGTCACAAAAATTCCTGTCATTGAAATGCAAGTTTCTTTAGACCAGGCACCTATAAGAGTTCTAACAGCTTATTACTTCTAAACCTTAACATAGTTTAGGGCTTGAGCCACAGTAGCAAACATCTGATGTTTGCTTTCACCTTGGCAGTCAACTTTGTAAAAGGAAAAAAAAATGTTACCTGTTAATCTGAAAGTTATTCACTTCTGGTTTGAGGCAGTGGAGGATAATCATAGAATCGTTGGAGTTGGAAAGGACCTTAAAGATCATCCAGTTCCAACCCCCTGCCGTGGGCAAGGGTGCCTTCCACTAGATCAGGTTGCTCCAGGCCCCATCCAGTCTGGCGTTGAGCACTGCCAGGGATGGGGCATCCACAGCTTCATAATAAACATAACATAAACAACAACATAATAAATGTTATTGTTTTGTTGTTCTGCATACTTTTTATCTTGGTGTCCGAGAGTAAGTTTAAGAAAAACTCATGTTCTGTTGTTTGGTTATGGTGTTTTTAGGTGGGTGTGAAAGTAGGTGTTCGTACAAGAGGATGCAATGGGCTTTCCTACACATTAGAATATACGAAATCAAAAGGAGATTCTGATGAAGAGGTAGTTCAAGATGGTGAGTTTCTGAACAAACTTCTGTGGTGGTGGTGAAGAATAAGCCTTTGCAGGTTTGCCAAGGTACAGGCTAGAACTTGAAATAACGAGTTACAGTAAGAGGTCCCTCTGTATGGGAATTGTTGTCACCTTAGTTTCTGGTTTGGAGTAACCAGTTAGTTAAAATAAGCAGCTTTGCGTCGGAGCTTTTCTGCATCAGAGGCTACTCCACCTGGATAGTTTAGTCCCTCGTTCATGTCTTCAGAGGTGGCTAATAGCAGATATTTAGAGAATAATACAGAACAATGCATATATCATGAAATATTTGATCAGCATACCTAAACCAAGGCTTGGGAAAGTAAAGATTTTATTTGCAAGGGATTTTCCCAACTACTTTCTCTAACTAGTCTTATTCTTCCCTGATGCTTGATTTGGTTTTAATTTCTTTGTGCTTTTGACTTTTGCATTGCTTTGTAACAACGGGTTTTACAATTTTTACTGAAGAATACTTTAAAAATTGTTTTCCTACGCTGATATTTATGCTTTCTGCCTCATAATTACAGTAAGCATCGCATGATAGGTCTGTTGCTAAAGTTCCTATTGTGGTTTAACCCCAGCCAGCAGTGAAGCCCCTCACAGCTGCTCACTCACTCTCCCACTGACTTTTTCAGAATGGTAAAAGTGAGAAAACTCATGGCTTGATATAAAGACAGTTTAATAGGTAAAGCAAAAGCCACACATGCAAATGAAGCAAAACAAGGTATTAATTCACCATGTCCCATCAGCAGGCATGTTTTCAAGCATCTCCAGGACAGCAGGGCTCCATCTCACATGATGGTGACTTGGGAAAACAAACACCATCACTGCAAATGTTCTGTCTTCATTCTGCTTCCCACAGCTTTTATTGCTGAGCATGATGTCATATGGTATGGGATATCCCTTGGTTCAATTGGGATGAGCTGTTCTGGCTGTGTCCCCTCCCAGCTCCTTGTGCACCCCCAGCCTGCTTGCTGGTGGGGTTGGGTGAAAAGCAGAAAAGGCCTTGATGCTGTGTAAGCATCTGCTCAGCAGTAACTAAAACATCCCTGAATTGTCAGACTTTTTCCAGCACAAATCCAAAACTTAGCCCCATACTAGATATTCTGCAGAAAATTTGTCCCAGTCAAAACCAGCACAGTGCTGTATGTTTTTTCAGTTTTCATAAAAGTTTATGTCAGTGGTCTTTTTGTCAAAATACAGATTGATAATAGAGTTTGTTTTGGTTTCTGTTCGTTTTCTAAAGGTTCATAGAATTCCTTTTGTGGAGGTGGTTTTTGGTTCTTTTAGGCATTACTGAACTACATTATGTTCAGAAATATTTTTAATTTGGGGGCAAAGTCAGAGATTAAGAGGCTATCACTGTTGTTTTCTTACAGAAGCTGTGCTGCTGGTCAGAGGCCACCTTCCAGCTGTCTTTAGAAAACCTGTGACCAACACATACAGTTTTTATTCTCTTAAACAGAGAATTAGTTAGAACTTCAGTAAATGGTTAAATTGAAACAGAATATGAGCATGAGAATGTGAGGTAGGGACTGCCACCTGATTCTGCAGTTGTCTCTTGATTTCATATTCAGCTGGCTTCTGGAGTTAACCTGTCCTGCTTGATTCAAAGCTGTTCTAGCTTTACAGGCCTGAAAACACATTTTTCAGAAAGCATTTCCTGATTTGGATCTTAAGGAAACTGGAAAGCAGTTTCCCTCAGTCAGGTCAGAGACCTTACATTCCAAAACCAGCAGTTCATGTGTGCTTGTGTCATTTCTGTTTTGCTTCACTTGCTTCTAGACAGACTTCCAGTAAAGGCTCTTTTATACAGGTTTCTGCTCGGTGGCTTTGAATCCCAGAACAGGTTTGCCTGCTTTTAGGTAGTAAGTGAAAGTTTCAGGAATCAGGTCCATAAACTCTTTGATTAGGTTTAGCCTTCACTATCAGTTACTGTCCAAACTGACCCCCAAAAAAGTATAGATTCAACTCGGTTGAATCTTGAGGCTTGAGTTGTGATAATAATATGTTTTGTCTCAGTGTCTGCTGTGATGAAGCAGCTTTCCAGCAATCTTTCCTGTACCTTAATGAGGTGTTGTTGCTGTGTACTGGTACAATTCTACATGTTTATTTTTATCATTTCATAGTCTGTGGATAGCTAAAGCAGTCCACTTGCACCTTTGTGTCATATTTGCAGCTTTAAAGTTCAGTAACTTTATTCCAGAGAGATACAGGCTTTGTATACTTCAGGAAAGAAAGCTCTTTCTACTTACCAAGATGAACTGCTAGTTTTTAATCTTAAAGGTTGTGGTATATTTGAATCTTGTTCATACATTTGCCTCATTATAAGATTCAGTATTGCTAATAGTTAATGTAGAGGTAATATTTCTGGCAGAGCAGATAATAATTTTGAGAGTGAAACATTCAGGTTTTCAAGGTCTTTGTGCATCTTGTTAGATGAACAGACTTTAAGAATGGTAGGAAATGGGTTGCTGGCTGTAATGTATGGGAATTAAGTATTGAAGCTAAGATCCGTTCTCAAGTTCTACAGTGTCTTTCCCTAGGTGTCATATTTTTAAATCTCCCCTCAAAAAATAAATATGTGACACATAAATAATACTTCTAAACTGTTGCTGGACTTGTATAGTACAGTAAAAACAATGATGAAAGTGTCCCATGTTAGGCCAGGGAAACTATCTTATACTGATAGCCTTCATATTTAGCTTCCATTTTTTTTATCACTGGTTTAAAGAGAGTTCCAAAGTGAGTGATGATTTTGCTGTGCGTAAATATTTTCTTTTTTTCTTTGATGTTCTCCAGGGGTTAGAGTGTTTATTGAGAAGAAGGCACAGCTGACACTTCTAGGAACTGAAATGGACTATGTAGAAGACAAACTATCCAGTGAATTTGTCTTCAATAATCCAAACATCAAAGGAACATGTGGCTGTGGAGAAAGCTTTAACATCTGAAATCTCAGGACTACTTCTTTGACTTTGAACACCCCGAAACACTGCTACGACTTTCAGAAGCAAATGCATTTTCTTCAGGTTTGTAGGCTGTGTGAAGTGTGGATACCATTAAGAAAAATAAACCCTTTTGAAAAAGTAAATTGTTTGTTAGATTCCACCACTGATGTAGTTATTCTTTAATTTGTGATGATTTGGGATTCAAAAGGTAAGAACAGTAAGTGCTATAGTAACATCTCTGTACTTCCACATGCCAAGGAAATAAAATCTATCTGTTCTTTTCGTTTGTTATTTTCTTTGTTCACTCTACTCAGACTTCCCCATCCAAAACCTATTTGAAAGAATATTACCTATGTGTTCTGCTTTGATGTGGGGAGGAAAAAAACCACCACCAAAATAAAACCCCCAATCACTTATATGAGCTTGTTCATAAAAATTTATATATGAAGACCTCAGCTTCAGCGTTCGCTATGATTATGTGTATGCTTGCTTTGGTTTTGTAGTTTTTTGATGCTTTAATCTTTTTACATGGTTTTCTGGTGGTTTATTTTTCTATAAATCTGGGGAGGTCCAAGAAAGTGTTCATGTATTAGTATAGTGGTAGGTTACTATAGAACTGCTTGTAGAAATACTTCAGAATGGACTAACCCAGTTTTAATTCTGTTTCTTTCCTTGTTGAAGGCACCGTCTCTGCTGTACTTAGAAAGTAATTTTGCAGAACACGAAATACATTTGGACAGTGGAGTACTAAAGCAGATACACATGAGCATGGTTTCTCATGTTTCTGTCATTTGTCCTTCTTGACTTAAATTGAAAAGTTGGTAAAGCTGCCTGAAGATTTTTTTTTTTTTTTTTTGAGAGGGCTCTTACACTTCTCATTACTTTTTTGTAGTTATGTCTGCTACTAATTTTGTTACAGTTCGAACTCTTGCAACTGTGCAGGTACAAGGTTTTTTCTCTAAAGCTTATCATAGCTTCTGTTTAACTCTCTTAAAGTTAACTTGGTGACAGGGGAAAAGGCATTTATAATTAAAAAAAAAAACTAGTATTTTGTAATTATTAAATGAATCTAAGCAGTAATTAAAATAGTATGTTTATAGGAAGCCATTGTTTCTTTGGAATTCAGACTTTCTCCTAATCAGAATTTATGTTTTTTACACCAGTGTTCTTCAAGCCTACAAAGTCTTCAGCACTTATGCACTGGTGCTAAGGCAGAAATATATATGTCTCTCCAGGCCCTCCCAAAAGCTGATTCCATAGAAGTACTCTTCCATCCTTTTATTTCCATGTTTCCCTGGTTGTCTGAAGATGACATTGTGCAGCTGAACTGCTCAGTTGTGCTGAAGAGAAGATAATGTCTTCCTGGGCAGCTGATGGGAACAGCTAGTGAAAAGGGTGCAAATCAAAAGTAGGGGACAACAAGGACTGGGATCTTGCAGTCAAAGACAGGGTGGTGATTGAGGTGGGAGTGGAGGGAAAGCTTTAAGGCTGCATATGGAGAATCCAGAGGTAACATTGATCTGCACAGTTGCACCCACATACCTTGCAATCACATTGGGATAGTAACATGTTGAAGACTCAGGATTACAGCCACCTGCGAAAAGGTGTAGAAGGAAGAATAAAACAGATCAAGAATTATTTTTTCATTTTTATGTAGTGCACAAGAACAGAAGGTCAAAATTCCCACAATTACAGTTCAATATTAAATACTTGAATTTTGGTTGTATGCTCTGTCACCTTTTGATGTAAAAATGCTATTTCCTTCAACAGTCAGCTGCTGTACACGGTTACTTTATATAGCAATTCAGGAATTACTGGTAGTACACTGTCTACGTGCATTTTTAGTGCCACAGGTCTTTGTCTTGCCAAACAAAAAATGCAGTTAATGTGGTACAGCTGCATTAATATGTCTAAAACTCCAAGCAAAGGGCATTTCTTCAGATCGTGTTCCTCTGCCTCTTGCTAGGGTATAAGACTTGAAATGTGGTAGCACTGGTAGGGCTTGCTGTGCATGCTGCTCCTTAGTCATTTAACTTGTTTTGGTGTGTTTTGGAGTACCGGGGATTGGCTTGGGGATTTTTTAAGACCTGTGGCATGTATAGCAATCTTTTCACATTTTGTGTATATGCCTTGACTGAAAGTTTGCACTTTCGTACTCCAGTGAAATAATCCTCTAAATTGTCACTTTACTAAGACACCTAACGCACAATGTGTTCAACTTCTGTTAAAGTCCTATTTTCAGTTGCATAGGAACATGGTTTTGATGATTGGTCTGTTATAATTTTGTGCAATACTGTATGTAGAGTTCTCAGTTGTAATAATAAATATTGCCTGCTGGTAACCATGAAATATTCCTATCTTGAATGATTCTATTTACAGTAACAAGCACTAGAGGGAGAGAGTAGGTTTGTATGCTGGGGTTACAAACCTGACATCATATTCCTCAGGAATATCAAGTATTTCAGAATATTAACAGCTTTGGAATAGCATAGAAACATGCAAAACCCCCAGCTGTGCACAGAAAGGTATTTATACGTACCAGAAAGGTAGGCTGCTAATGGTCAAACTTCTATTAAATTCTGTGGCACACTCTGCTTGGTAGAAATTCTGACAGGCAAGATGCTTACTGTGAAGGTTTCTACTTGTCAGTAAGTCACTGTGGTATGTTTAAAGCCAGGAGGATGATTTTGGTCCCAAGTAACTGTTGGCACAAAAGGTTTTTAATTGGCTAGGCAATTTGAGAGTGAGAGTCAAAGAGCATTCGTGGCCAGTCCACTGTGATGCTGTATAATGGCGCTAATATGCCATAGTGTATTAGGTTTATAACACGTTTGGGGTTTTCTCCTAGGTGCAAGTCTTTCCACCTCTGAAGCTGAGAAATTTCCTTTTTCTGTTAGGTGAAGTTTTTGAACGCTAGGGGAAGAAGTAATACATTTTGGAAGAATGCTAGAGATTGTGATACAGTTGCACATTCATGATGCTGGGGAGAGAGAACCAAACCCTTCATGCAGCCAGGAGCCTGGAAGAGCAACGTTACCTTTCTGTGGGAGTTCTTATGGAACTTTGTGGAAACACTTGCACAAGCAAGTCAGCATTCCTGATCCACCACTTTTTATAGCTCACTTGGAAAGGCTTAAGAACAAATGTTTAGAAAAACATTAAACAGATCAATATGCAAGTCACCCTGATGGGACAAAATGAATTTGAACTCCAAAATAAAAAATTAGATGCAAGTAATAAGACTGTGAAATTTAATGTTAAGGAAGCATACTTTTAGAAGTTCTGGGGGTTTTTTTTCTTTGTTTTATTTTGGATTTATTGGTTTGTTTGGGTTTTAGGGTTTCTTTTACAGTTAAAATCTGATAATTATTTTCTTCTCATTTAGCTAAATCAACACCTTCACTAGTGGAAAAATTCTTCAGGTATGCCACTATTGTGCTTACACTAGCTGCATGGCCATTTATTAGATAAAATGTTTATGACACTACAATGCTGCAGTCTTTTCTGACAGAAGAGTTCCATCGTTGCTAGATGGGGCAGAGTGTGCACTTCTGTGTTCATCCCAAAATGAGCCCTCAAAAGAGTACTTGAAAAATTACTTTTGTCATGACCAGTACAGCATTTTTTCTACAAAGTGATCGGCCAGATAGTGAGCAGTTCAGCCAACTTCGGTCTTTATTGCCATTTTTAATGTATATGACATCATAGAATAGTTTGGGTTGGAAGGGAACGTCAAAAGTCATCTAGTCCTCCTGCCATGCAATGAGCAGGGACATCTTCAAATAGTTCAGGTTGCCCAGAACCACATTTAGCCTGGCCTTGAATGTCTCCATGGATGGCACATCCACTACCTCTCTGGGCAACCTGTGCCAGTGTTTTACCACCTTCACTGTTACGAATGTTTTCCTCACACCCAGCCTGAATCTCTTTAGTTTAAAACCATCACCCCTCCTCCTACTGCAACAGCCCCTGCTAAGAAGCCTTTTCCCATCTTATAGGCCCCTTTTAAGCACTGAAAGGTCACTATAAGGTCTCCCCAATTACTTTTCTCTAGGTTGAACAACCCAAACTTTCTCAGGCTAACTCCGCAGGAGAAGTGCTTCAGCCCCCTGATTTCCACGGCCCTCCTCTGGAACCTCTCCAGCAGGTCTGTATCTTTCCTGTACTGAGATATACTGATTCAACATAGTGAGCAAAAGCAGAAGTGCTCAGCACACTTCGATATGCATTTGGGTTTCAGCAGCATTTGAATGGCTGTTTTGACACACAGCACTGGCATTTTGCTTTGGGAGACAGCAAGGTAAGGTAAATGGCTGAGTATAAGCAAGATCTTCGTCCTCGCCTTTACGGTCCCTTTCAGCGGGCTGTTTTTTCGGGCCGTGCGTGCTGTCGCTGGCAGCAGTGGCCCCTGAGCTCCTCACACGGCGCAGCCCGGGATCCCCCCTGTGAGCCATGCCTGCCTGCTGTCAGGTAGGATCCGAATACTGCTTTCACCTCCTGGGATGCTCGGGTGCGAGCGGGTATCCGCTGCCACCGGGTGGCAGCAAATCTCCAGTCTATGCGTTTCAAAACTCCGTATTCTAAACTCCTGAGCAAGTAAAAATAATCCTGAATGCCGGAGTATTTTTACTTATACTGGTTTAAACACTTTCAGCTCTGCTCTTCGTCCTTCTTGTACTTCTGTGTTTTTTAACTGCTCCTAAATGATGCCGATGGCTGCAGAAATGCGAAATTCCAAAACACCTCAGAGCTCCTGATGCAAATTGAAGCAGAGGAGCAGAGCGTAGCCTTCTGACCAGCTGCTGCTACTGAAGCATTGCTCTTTTCACCAATCCTCCCCTTGTTAGTAGTGTGCTAGTGTACTTCATTATTGTTGTGTCCAGCTCCAAATTATTGCAGATTTGTTTCCATCAGTTATCTTTAACCTCTACGGTAACAGAAGTTCCAGCAGGACAAAGAATCTCATGAAACAGTATAGTCTCTATCAACAGAAATACTCTTACCCCCTACACCTTACTTATTGGGGTTTTTTACTGATTGTGTAATTGGGGCTTTTTTACTGCTTGCATGATGATTTTATTGCATGTGATTTTAGTGACAAATTCCTTCTGTAGCTTTCTGAAGTTAGGTCCAGACAGCAGGCGTAAATTCCCCTTACTAGCTAATGAAACAAGACAGCATCCAAACACTTGAAATAACCTAAGTAGCACAATTCTATTCATACAGAGGGTTTGCAGTCAGGCATTTCCTTTTGCAACTGTGTGTTTTAGTCTTCAATTT